TGATCTTACGCCTACCTCTAACTATATATATATGCCTAATATTTTGAGAATCAAAAATCTAAATCTGAGGAAAAAAAAGGTTTGTTTAGTCAGGAAGAACGTTTTTGTATCTGATTTCGTAACTAAAAATATCATCTGCCTTAAATTAATTAGCATAATTTAGTTAGTTCATTAAAATATGAATCTTATTTCCTTATAAGGAAACAATATAACATTATGTTAATTTGCTATCAATATTTTTTTTTATTATTTCGAATGTATTCTGATAGAAGGTAACATTTTACATCTTTGTGTCAAATCATGTTACAAATTTGTTTTTGCATTACTTATTTATTCCTATTACTTGCATTTTAACACGCAGTGCAATTTACAACTGAAGAAAATATTTTCCCCACAGGGTGGCGACTTCAAAAGTATTGGTTTGAATTGAAACGGTAAAGATAAATGAGCTGTGAGCATTTAATTATGATTGAACTTACAATCATTATCTTATCGTGAGAAGGCTTTAGCCACAAGGTCATCACGTCTCCACTAATGTCATGGATCACTGATGTATCGATTCCAGTATTTAAGATTAAATTCTTCCTAAAAAATACTTACTATTTGGATCACTGATGTATCGATTCCAGTATTTAAGATTAAATTCTTCCTAAAAAAATACTTACTATTTGGATCACTGATGTATCGATTCCAGTATTTAAGATTAAATTCTTCCTAAAAAATACTTACTATTTCTTTGAGTTAACTTAGCTGACAAATCTGAATGCTTCAGTTTCGTTCTTGATTATAAAATGACGTGATTTTACCTTCAGGGTTATTCAATGGAGCATATAGTGTCTTTTTTACTCGTGCTATTTTGATATCGATTCCATAGCAATTCTCAACTTACTGAAATTCGACAATTGAGAAAAGTCCTGTTTTGCATGAAGGGATTTCGTAATTATTTAGGGCGAATAATTATAGCTTGTAATAAATATTTCCTAAATTGAAAGTAATTTGATTAATCAAATTCCACCCTGACGAGAAGTAATTCTAATAAGGTTTTGACGTTAGAATAGCCAAAAAATATGATTATGGAAATTCGACAAGACAATGCAAATATATACTGGCAGATCAAATAATTATGCGATGTATCAGAAGGTAGGATAATCATATTGTTATTAAAATACAAAAAATAATCTAATCAAATTTACAACAGTGATTTTAGAGGGGTAATTTATTCATCCTGATTTTGATATAATTGAAGGCCTTAGCGTAAAGACCGGATAAGTTTATATTTTTTGAAAAAACTTTAATGCCTCTTTTAATGTGAACAATTAAGCTGTTTTAATTTACAACAGTGATTTTCGTGACGCAATTTATTTATCCAGAACTTGATAAAATTGAAGGCCTTAGAGCAAGAACCGGATAAGTTTAAATTTTTCAAAACAAATTTAATGCCTTTTTAAATGTGAACAATTAAGCTGTTTTGATAAGTTGCAGAACCGGGAAATAATATAACATCCTGTGTAGTAAATAATTTGGAAAAAACTAATTTAGCTATTTTTTATTTTTATTTCTTTTTTATTTAATTCAGCTCTCACCAACAGTATTTGAGTCCAGGTTTACTTGGTTCGTGCACACTGTAAAAATGTATATTAAATTTACAGAAAAAACTGTCAGCTGGTGTGTATAAATAAAATAATAATCTCCAACAAGGCGAGAGCGAAGCTTGAGACATAAGTGCACTGATTAACGATTTATTT